TCCTTTTCCTCTAATTCACCACCTTTGAAAAAAAATGGAACACCTGAATTATTAACTTTTAACTTAAACAGCAGTCATTAAAATTATTTGTAAAGTCTTGTAAATAAAATAAACTAAGATAAAAACTACCCACACCCCCATCAGATTCCTGATACCATTTTCTGTAAAAAAGAAAAATAAAACATAACTACAGACACTGAAATGTTTTTAAACGCTCAATATTGAACATGTGTGCTTTCAGCCCACTCATAACCTTCATCACCAAATGTGATCTTCAGCACAGTTCTCATATCAGAGCTTTACTGAAATATACTTAACATAGCATACAACTAACTTAAAATATAACATTCAGTCTTTTTTAGTATGTCGAGATCTGTGCAAACAGCACAACAATCAATTTTACAATATTTTCATACACAAAAAGAGCTCCGTGCCCTTTAGCTGTCACTCCCCATCAACTCCTCCCCTTTAGCGCCAGGCAACCACTACTCCACTACAAGTATCTATAGATTTCCGGCACATTTTTAAAGGCTAAGAAATTTCCTTTTCCACCCAGTCACTGGGAAGGTTTTAACACTCCCTGGTTGGTAGAAGTGCTGAAACCGCTCGCCAAATGCGACGAGAGCACATGTTACAGAAGCAACACCTCTTTAAATCACTATCCAGTGTGTTTGAAATTTCATCTCGAACCTCACAGATTTTTCAAATTCTGAGTATGGGGATGGCCTCATTCAATAAATACACAAGATTTAGGTAAGAGGATTTAAAAGGCAGTTCCTGGCAGATTCGCTTACAACGAATGGCTCTAAGCAACTGTTCCCAAGTTTTGCAAAATAAACCGGGCTGGCGGCACAATGAAGCCACCTCTATGACCCCTGGATACTCCCCCACGGAAGGCTGAGTGTCCCGTGAAAGGTCTTGCCGGAGACCCGTACCTTCTGGCTCGCTCTTTTTCCGGCCGAAGAAAAACAAAGAGCCCAACAGGGTCCAGGTGCCCAATGCGTAAACCGCGGACATCCGCCGGTACCAAGCCGTAGCCTGGTCAGGACGCATGGCGCCGTAGGGGGAAGGCCTGGATCCTCAGAGACCCAGAGCTGAGGCGGGCCTTCCCAGATGCCAGTCGTAGCCGCAGCCGTCGCCTCCAATGGGGAGCCGGCCCCCGCGCCGCTTCCTACGCTAGCCCTGATGTATCCTGGGGCTTGTAGTCCCGAAAGTCGCGCTGGGGCTTGGATTTACGTGTGGAGCCTGGGTAAGGCGGGTTTGGTTCCTGGCTGCGAACGCATGACCTTGCATACCAAATGACCTACCAAATGACAATTTCTCTGAGCTAACGTCTCACCTGCAAAATTGTAACGCCTACCTTGATAGGCTTCAGATGGTATTTGTAAGGATTAATTCCATTCCTCCTCCAGCTCTCAAATGTGCGAAGATACTTCCTGTCTGATCCCGCAATTCATCTTCCCTCTTTTCCTTTTTGGAACCCTGTCTGGGTAAGCGTTGGGTCCCTCCACGTCAAAACTAACCCCTCCATTGTGCTCTGGGTCCCATTCTTTACTGCTTCCTCCGGGGCCTTTCTATTAATTACACGCTTGATCTCTCCCTCACCCACCTCCCACATATTTTCATTTTGTTTTTACCCTTCGTACAAACGTGCCCATATCTCAAAAACAAAAAAATCTCCTTCGACTGTGTCCACTGTCAGCTTTTTCTTATCCATACATGTCTTCAAAGCATAATCTTCCCCTACTCCAATAGACCAAACAACTTGAGAGCAAAAGTGATGTGCTTGGCATAAATGGGCACTCAGTAAAGTGCCATATCCAGTAACTTCTTTTCAGCCATAATCAAACTTAATTTCTAAAGCATTTGACACCACTGACCCCAACCCGCTTCCTTTTGTGGCTTCAAAAACATTTTCCTCGGTATGTCCACATACTTCAGGGCTCTTTCTACTTTGCTCATCCCCTAAAAATTGGTGTTTTGCCATGCACAAAAATTAACTGAATGGATCATAGGCTAGAATGTGAAAGCTAAAACTACAAACCTAGAAGAAACCATAGGAGAAAAATCTTTACCACCTTGGGATAAAAAAAAGTCTTAGAATACAAAAAGCATGAAACAAAACAAATATTGACAAATTGGATATTTTTAAAATTAAAGCTTTTGCTCTTCAAAAATCAAAGTTAAGAAAATGAAACAAGCCACAAAATACTGAAAATACATGTATTTGACAAAGAACTTATATCCACAATATATAAGGGCACTTACAACTCAATTATAAAAAGACAACCCAACTAAAAAGCAGACAACAAATTTGAACACTTAACAAAGGAAGATACACAAACGACCAATAAGCCCAGGGACATCACTAGTCATTACAGAAATGTAAATTAAAACCACAACTAGACTCCATTCCACATCTATTAGAATGACTAAAAGTTGGATTGAGAATACCAAAAGTTGTAAGGATTTGGAGCAATCAGATCCCTTAGTTGTGGGAACAAAATGTTATCTCTTTGCAATACTGGCAGTTTCTGAAAAAGTTGAACTACATTTGCCATACAACTCAGGCATTTCATTCCTATTTACCCAAAAGAAATGAAAACAGTACAGCCACACAATGACATGTTTATCTACAGAGCTTTATTCATAAGAGCCAAACAATGGAAACAACCCAAATGTTCATTAACCAGTGAATGGATAAATGAAATGTGGTATACTACTCAGCAATAAAAAGGAACTACCAATACATGCAACTACATGGATGCATCTCAAATGGATTATGCTCAGTGAAAGTGAGACACAAGAGAAACCAGACATAAAACTCTAAAAGCAAACCAAACAAAAAATTCTATAGTGGGAGAAAGCTGACCAGTAGTTACTTACAGCAAAGTGTGAACAAAAGGAATGACTAAATGGTGCCTGAGGAAACATGGGGGGCAATGGAAACATTCTTGGATGTTGATGGTAGTGGTTTCATGGGTGTACACAATCTGTCAAAACTTACCGAATTGTATACTTTAAATGGGTGCAGTTTATTGTATGTAAATTATACCTTATAAAATTGTTAAAAACATTAAAATCAGTATTGTTCCAGGCTTGCTTTTCTTCTCATCCTGAGCAACTTCACTCAAGTTTATTTACTTTATATACTAATGACTCTCAAATCTACTTGATTCTCCTGAAAGCAAATCCACATTGATTACTGCCAACCTGCTGGGCATTTTCACTGTTATATCCCACAAGATCCTTAAACAAATAATGTCCAGGATTAAATTTATCAATGCCACACCACAACAGGAAAGAAACCTTTCCTTCTTTTTCTGTAATTCAGAGGTTGGAGACACACCTGAGCCAGAAATTGGGACTCATCCTCTCCTAACATCCCATTTGTAACCTCTGTCTAAACACGTACCTCTGTTCAGGCCTCTTGGATTCCAATCTCCTCCCATCTATCCTGTCACTCTCCGTTTTTAAAACCTGCACCTTATCATTTCACACCCTAAGATAAATCAGAGGCTTTCCTTGTCTTTGAGTGCTTCATTCGGCACACAGGGCTCGTGTCCTCCTCTTGGGATGGCTGCTCTCCACATAACACTCACCCTTCACCTCCACATTCTATCTGGAAATAGCCAAGTCTTCTACATTAGGTCATCCAGTGGTGCCACCCCTTCCCCCAGCACCATAACTCGTTGTCACTAAAGAGGACACCTGAGAGAGCTGGGTCTATCACGTTCTTCTGTTAATTTGAAACAGACAGGCCCAAGGAGGAAGTTTCCGCCTTAATCTATACACACAATTTTATGTACCTTCTATATGATATATCTCATTTAAAAACTATATCCAAAAAATGTTTTGTTTTTAAGATTTCATTGGGGAATTGAAGAAGGGAACAGTTTTAGGGAATTGGGGAAGGGAGAACATTGTTTTTCCAGGACCCATCAGCTCCAAGTCAAGTAGTTGTCCTTCAATCTTAGTTGTGGGCAATGCAGCCCACCATCCCATGCAGAGTCAAACCGGCAACCTGTTGCTCAGCTTGTATTCTAACAAACTGAGCCATCTGGCCAGCCCCCCAAAATAAGTATTCTATGGAAAAGGTGCAGAAAATAAAAACCCTTGGCATTTTAAAAAGTGTAACTTCTATCACCTTAATAAGATAGGGAACCTTCCCAGAGTGTAGAGCAGAGGCAAAAAGGCAGTACAAAACAAATTCAAAAGACAAGAGTATCAGAATCAATCCAAATGGTTCAACAAATTAATAGTTCTCAGCTTTACTTTTCTACATAACACTCATTCTAATAAATTATGTAATTTACTTCTAATTTTTTTTGTTGGTCTTCCCTCACTAGAACATAAGCTCATGAGGGCAGGAATGTTTGTTTTATTGGCTACCTTCCCAGTGCCTAGAAGACTACTCCGTACGTAGCAAATAGTTAAGATTTATTGAATGAAATAGTTGCTCAAAAGTTCTGAAAGAAAAAAATTTTTTGGGGCTTAGAATTTTATACTCAACAAAGTTGTCAAATATAAAGACAGAATGGATTCAGTGAATTATCTTCCATTTACTTTTTTTTTAGGAAAAGTCATTTAAGATGGCAAAATGACTTAGGAAATAAATGGAAAAGTAGAACCCAGGAGTCCAAACAAAAAAATTCCTGGATAACAACCGTCGTAGCAAGTGGCCTATGTTTAAAGGGATCATCATTGACCTCTAAAGACTACTCCATTCAGTAGAATAAGAAGCTGCAATTCCTTAATAAATAGAAAATAAAATCTTCTCAAAAAACAAAAAGAAGAAGCTCTAGGGAAAACAACAGCATATATAAGTCATAATCCAAAAAAGAAGCAAAACAACCTGTGAAATGCTAGAATGTAAGAAAAGTGACTGATTTTATCATTAGGATTGTTGTCCTTTAAGTGGCATAAGGAATACTGGGACAACAAACCCCTGGAGAAAAATGTAACATTACCTGACTCAAACTTGAATAATATTTACATTATTACAACTGTGTAAATAATCTTTATTAGTTTTCAACTTTCAGAATTAACTTTGAGACAAAAGACATAATTATGGTTCTAGGTAGGCATGCAAATTTTACCAACCTTGATAATATAAAAATAAAAGTATAGCTGATCAAAACTGGTAGAAAGGTAGTAAAATTCTCATTCTAAGAAATGGGAATTGAGAGATACTGGCTAAAATTGACACATCAACAACAAAAAGCTTGAAAGGAAAGGTTAAAGCAGTTACCTCTGAAGAATAGGTCTCGGCTTAGAGAGTATAGGAAACTTATTTGTTATAAGCTCTTTAGATTAAGATTTTTTTTAACATGCAATATTACCCTTTGATTAAAAAAAGCTGTACCTGTTATTTTACTTGTGCCCAAGATAAATGTGTCGTCGTCACTCTTTTAGAGACACTTACGCCCATCAGCCCCTCTTATGTCTACCTGGGCTGGACTGTTTACATGGAATGCGATATGTGAGTTAGGGACAATGCCACTCTAGACCACGCTACCTCAACAAAGTTTCATATATTTCAAACTTTTCCTTGGTCTGTTAACATTTAGACAGTAAATGAAGATTAAATTCAAGAAAGGTCTCTTGGGGTAGTCACTTAAAAAAAACACACACTCACAGAGAGACCTCAGGACATCAAATTTGTATTAGCATTATTTTAGCCAGTGCTTTCTTCATCCAGATTTATTTCCTTTCTGATCTTTATGGTTTTCATCTAAGCAAGCTACCAAAATACATTAACCTCTGATTTTACATAGGCTGTCAAGTTAGGATACAAAAAGCATATAAACATTTACAAGTACCTTATATGGTTTATAACCATATAAACATTTATGACCTTATAATTTTATGATGCAAGAAAGGGGGCACAGGTAAGAAAAACAAATAAATTACAATCTAAAGAGTTACATACAACACTTCGTTTGATTATTTATTAAAATCCACAAGAAGAGTGAAAGGAATGTTAGTAAGCCTTTATAAACAATCGTGAACACATCTGACAGTGTTCTCTTCAATTCCTGGTCACAACCCCAACTTAAGAGGCACTGGAGACAGCTAGCTTCTTCAAATGATCCATGAACACCTGCAAGCTAACGTCGTCAGTTAGGATAGGTGCTCCCGTTTCCTGCAATGTAATAGTAAAGGTTTACCGGCAGGTATCTTACAAACTGTTTAGAATTCATGAATTATTAAGGATTCAGAACATTCACAAGTGTTGTCCCTTCTGCTGGTGAGTACGCCTGCCAACCCCATCCTCTGCCTAGCTAACTAACTATTTCAACTGAAGCATAAATTCCTCACAAAACCCTTCCCTGACCACTGAGCTCAGGCAATCCCTGCCACTAGACAGTTCTGAGCATATCCTCTTCTACCTCCCCGCTCTCCACAGCTCTGAGGACTCATCCAGAGTCTGGCTTCCCACCCGGTATAAGCTCCTGGAGGCCTGTACACCCTTCCTCCTACCACTCTGCCACAGCACCTAGCCAGGTGCTCTTAAACGGTCTGCTTACAACAGAAGCTTGATAATGGCATATTCACAAATGAGTGAAACATATCTCCACTGAACAGGTGGGTAATTGTACTATCAGAAAATGCTTATAATTTATATAATGTTAAGGGAAAGAAATGAACAGAAATCTCGATTTCTCAAATTTGTAAAATAAAAAAAAACAAAGGAAGAAAAAAAAGATATAGATGACATACACGTTATATTGCCTAGCAAGATGCCAAAAATAGTTAACTCTAGATAGTAGCACTATAGGCAATTTTAATTTTCTTTCTTACTCTTTTTTTACATATTTAAATTTCCTAAAATAAAATTGTACTACTACTATAAATAGAAAAAAGAAAGTGTGATTAAAATGTTATATGAAGACTTCTGGGAGGAAGGAGTAGATGTACTTTTCCCTTTTTTTTTCACTAGGTACAACTAAAAACCCTGGACATTTTACATAAAACAAACATAAGAAGACACTGAAAGGTAGAGAGAAGACAGCAGGCAAACTAGGGGCCCTGGGACCCAAGGAGAAACACAGTGGTGAGTTCCCTGGGTTTTCTTTATGCCTCATACATCCCAGACTTGGATCTAAATAAGCTGGCAAATGGTCACTAAGCATAGACAAAAACAACTTTCTCTAGCCAAAGAACCAGGACAGTCCAGCAAGACAGTAACAAGGGACCCCAACAAACCCACCAGGGCAATGTCAGAGAAGGCCTAGTGTCAGGAATTTCACCCCCATGATAAGAAGTCACCTAACCCCTTCGGTATCAGTAGAGACCCTTAGGGGAGGCAGTCATAAGATGTACCCCCACATGGCAATAAGATGTCCCTCCCCCACCCACTGGGGTAGTGTCAGAAGAGGTCTAGTGGAAATGCAGCACTTTCACCGTCACCCAACAGTAACAAGGCCATCTCCACAGCTGGATCAGTAGAAACTAGGTGGGGAGCTGAAACCCCCATCCCCACCCAGCAGTAACAAGGAATCACACCAACCTCAGGTGCCAATACAGGCCAATGGAAAACCTGGACTTCTATCTCCATCTGGCAGTAATAAAACAATGTCTTCCCCTGTCCCACTCCTCCCCTGCCAGAGCTGCATGACAAAAAGCCAACTAAAACAGCTTTAAATAGACCCAGTCTGATAACAAATATGAAACTGTCCATGTTTCAATAAAAAAACACTTGTCAGACCAAGAGCCAAGATCTCAAAGTGAATGAAAAAAGAGAGTCAACAGATGTTAACATCATGTTGATAACAATGTCAGAATTATCTGACACAGACCTTAAACTAGCCACAATAAAAATGCTTCAATGAGCAATAACACACACACCTGAAAAAAAAGAAATAATACAAAGCCTCAGAAGAGAAAAACAAAGTCTCAGGAAAGAAGTAGAAGATATAAAAAAGAACCAAATGAAAATTTTGTAACTAAAAAATACAGCAACAAATAAAAAGCTCAGCATATGAGCTCAATAGCAGAAAGGGAACAGAGAAAATCAGTAAACTAGAAGACAAAATAATACAAATTACCCAACTAAAGAACAGAAAAAAAATAAACGGAAAAAAGAATGTAGGGCCTCTGAGACATGTAAAAGTACAAAAGACCTAACAATCGTGTCACTGGGGTCCCAGAGAGAAAGGAAAAAGAAGGCAGGCTGAAAAAGTATTCAAAGAAATAATGGCTGAGAACTACCCAATTTCTGGCAAGAGACATAAGTATACAGGATCAAGAAGATGAGCAAATTCCAAAGAAATCCACACCAAAACACACGATACTTTAACTTTTGAAAACAAACAAAAAATGTTGAAAGCAGCCAGAGAAAAATGACATCTCATCCACAGGGACAAAATAAGCATGACAATGAATTTCCATATAGACCACAGAAGGCAGAAAAGTGGGAAAATATTTTTTAACTGCCTAAAAAAGGAATGTCACTAGAATCCTATATCCAGAGAAAATATCCTTCATGAATAAAGGGGAAATCAAGAATTTCAAGTGAAGGAAAACTAAGAATCAATCTATCACCAGCAGACCTATCCTCAAAACATGGCTAAAGGAAATCTCTAAACAGAAAGGAAATGATAAAAGGAAACTTGGAGTACCAAGAAAGAATAAAGAACAAAGTAAGTAAAAATGTAGATAAATGTAATAGGTTTCCCACCTTTTCTTGAGATTTATAAATTGTTTCATGGTTAAAGAAAAACTGTAACTGATGTATGTAGAGGAAATATTTACCACAATTATATTATAAATGAGGCAGGGTAAAGTGACATAAAGGGGTGGTAAGTTTTGTACATGTCAAAAAGACAATGCCACAGGTGATTCCGAGACCCTACCCCACACAACTTACAGGCCTCCCCCCCAAGCAGTTTCCAGTGGCTTTTCCATACAAATGGCCTATCTTGGCTCCTGCTGCAGATTTTTCTAAAATCTCTCAAAGGCTCACAAATCCCAAACAAGCAGCATCTGGCCTCAGTGTGCCCCACACCTCTTGCTAAGCAGCCCCAAGCCTGGCACTGGTAGTATGAGCCTTGGTCCTCAGCTTAGCCTCTCTCCGAGGCACCTCCAAGCACAGCGTCGGTGGAAGACATCTGCACATTGCTTTGTGGCTCATACTAACTGGCCCCATGGGGCAGGGCACAAGCAGAAGCTGAACTTGGTCTGTGGTGGGGCACTTGCAGGAGGTCCCAGGGCCAGCATGCCTACTAGGAGCACCACTCGGCTACCTCCACAGACGACATACCCAAAGGGCTGATTGGGCAGGTACCAGAGTCCTGCTAAAGCAAATTCTGCTCCGTAGGGTCAGACCATGCACAACTGCTCCTCCACTGGAGTCACGACCAGTCCTCACCACAAATCAGCCTGAGGGTCAATCCCTCCCACTGATGTGCAAACAGCAACCAATGTTCAACTACAACAGGAGGGCACACACAACCCACATAAGGGACAAGCTTGGAGCACCTAGCTCATGTGACCAGGAAGGCTGTACCACTGGGCCCCATAGCACACCTACTACATAAGGCCACTCTACCAAGGCCGGGAGACACAGCAGTGCTACCTAATACATAGAAACAAACATAGGGAAGCAGCCAAAATGGGGAGACAAAAAAATATGTCCCAGACAAAGGAACAGAACAAAGCTCCAGAAAAAGACGAAAACAAAATGGAGACAAGCAATCTACAGAATTCAAAATACTAGTTATAGGATGCTCAATGATCTCAGGGAGAATTTCAACAAAAAGATAGGAAACATAAAAATGGAGATAGAAACATAAAAAAGAATCAGTCGGAAATGAAGAATACAATAACTGAAATAAAGAATACATTAGAGGCCGGCCGAGTGGCTCAGTTGGTTAATAATGTGAGCTCTGAGCAACAGAGTCGCTGGTTCAATTCCCACATGGGCCAGTGAGCTGCACCAGAGCTGAGCTGCCACTAAGCTGCCAACAGGAGGCAGCATGGCTCAGCTGGTGAGAGCACATGCTCCTAACAACAAGGTTTCTGGTTCGACTCCTGCATGGGATGGTAGGCTATGCCCACCCACAACTAAGATTGAACAAGGCCCCTTGAACTGAGCGGCAGCGAGCAGCCAACAGGTGGCCAGATGACAACTGGACTTGGAGCTGAGCTAGTTATGCCCTCCACAGCTAAGACTGAAGGACAAAACTTGTCTGTTCCCCTTCCCCAATTCCCCAATAAAATCTTTAAAAAAAAGAATTTCAAACTACCAAAAAAAAGAATACATTAGAGGGAACCAACAGATTAGATGAAGCATGGGATCAAATCAGCTGTTTAGAAAATAGGTAGCAGGAAACACCTAATCAGAACAGCAAAAAGAATTTTAAAAAATGAGGATAGTTTAAGGGGCTGCTGGGACAACATCAAGCATGCTGACATTCACATCACAGGGGTACCAGAAGAAGAGAGCAGATATATGACAGAAAACTTCCCTAACTTGGCAAAGGAAATAGACATATGAGCCCAAGCGGTGCAGAGTCCCAAACAAGAAGAACCCAAAGAGGCCCACACCAAGACACATCATAATTAAAATGCCAAAGGTTAAAGACAAAGAGAAAATCTTAAAAGCAACAAGAGAAAGGCAGTTAGTTACCTACAAGGGAGCTTCCATAAGACTGTCAGCTGATTTCTCAACAGAAACTTTGCAGGCCAGAAGGGATTGGCAAGAAATATTGAAAGTGATAAAAAGCAAGGGACAACCAAGATTACTCTACCCAGCAAACCTATCATTTAGAATCGAGGGACAGATAAAGAGCTTCCCAGACAAGAAAAAGCTAAAGGAGTTCATCACACTAAACCAGTTATTACAAGAAATGTTAAGGGGACTTCTTTAAGAAGAAAAAAATGATAAAAAATATGGATAATAAAATGGCAAAAACTACATATCAACAATTTCTTTCTATGTAAATGGATTAAGTGCTCCAAACAAAAGGCACAGGGGTGGCTGAATGGATAAGAAAACAAAACCTTTACATACACTGCCTACAAGAGACTCAATTCAGATTGAAAGACACAAATAGACTAAAATCAAAGAAATGGGAAAAGATTATTTTGTGAAAATGGAAACAAACGAAAAAAGCTGGGGTAACAAAACTTATACCAGACAAAATAGACTTTAAAACAAAGGCTATAACAAGAGACGAAGGATCCAGTAATCCCACTTCCAGTTATTTGAAGAAACCCAAAACACTACTTCAAAGGGATGTGTGCATGCATATGTTCACTGCAGCATTATTTACAATAGCCAAGACATGGAGGCAACCTGGGTGTCCTTTAATGGATAAATGGATAAAGAAGAGGTGGTAATACAATGGAATATTACTCAGTCATAAAAAAGAATGAAATCTTGCCATCTGCAACAACATGGATGAACCTGGAAGTATTGTGCTGACCAGAGTAAGTCAGAGAAAGAGAAATGCCATATGATTTCACTTATATGTAGAATCTAAAGAACAAAATAAACGAACAACAAAATAGAAACAAACTCATAGGTAATACAGAGAACATGTTGATGGATGCCAGATGGGAGAGGCACTAAGGTGGTTGGTGAAAAAAGTAAAGGGATTAAGAAGTACAAATTGGTAGTTCTGAAATAATCATGGGTATAAAAAGTAAAGCCTAGGGAATATAGTTAATAACACAGTAATAACTATGAATAGTGCAAGGTTAAGTACTAGACTATTCAGGGGGATTACTTTGTAAATTATATAAATGTCTAACCACTATGCTATATACCTGAAACTATTGTAAAGTAATACTGAATGTCAACTGTAATTGAAAAATTTTAAAAAGAGGAGAAAAAGGTGAATGGGAATAAGAGATTAAAAAATAAATAAAAAAGAAAACACCAGTAAACTGAGAAGCTATGCATATATAATATAATGCTCTACACGCTAGAGCAGCGGTCGGCAAACTTTTGAGGCAGAACAGCCTCCAGGGGTCAGCAAACTGCGGCTCACGAGCCACATGGGGCTCTTTGGATACATACATGTGGCTATGAAGTAAAATTGAAAATGAAAATAAAACTATCATAGTTTCATTTATAATATTACTTAAAATTTTCCTTATTTGTAAAAACATATGTATGGCTCTCAAATAATTTTTAAATTGTTGTGAGGGACAGGATTGGCTCTTCCAGGGGTAGGCAAACTTTTAAGATGGAATGTACCCAAAGAGCCACACATGGCTTGCAAGCTGCAGTTTGCCGACCCCTGATCTAGAACAACCAGGAGTAACCACTAAATAAAGCTACACAGAGAGACACACTAAAAAACACTATAGACAAGCTAAAATGGAATTCTCAAAAATGTGCAAGTAATTCACAGGGAGGCAGTAAAAACAGAAAACAAAAAATAAAATGGCAGACTTAAGCCCTAATATATCAACAATTACATTAAACATAAATAGTCCAAATATATCAATTATAAGAGTTTAGTAGAGTAGATTAAAAACCATGACACAAGTATGTGCTGTCTATAAGACATTCACTTCAAATATAATGCTAGAAGAGAATGAAAGTTAAAGGATGGAAAGAGATGTATCATGCAAACAAAATGACCAGAAACAGAGGGAGACATTACATAATGAATGATATAAGGTCAACCCACCAAGAAGACATAGCAATTCTAAATGTGTATGCAACAAACAACAGAACTGCAAAATCATATGAACAAAAACTGATAGAACTCAAAAGAGAAATAGACAATTAGAATTGGAAACATTAAAACCCTTTCTCAACAATTGATAGAACAACTAGACAGACAAATCAGCAGGGATATATAAGAACTCTACATTATCAACTCACAGAATTTAATGAATATTTATATAACACTCTATCCAACAACAGCAGAATACACATTCAAGTGACTGTGGAACATATGCCAAGATAGACCATATTCTAGGCCACAAAACAAACTTCAATAAATTTATAAGAACTGAAGTCATACAAAGTATATTCTCCAACCATAATGGAATCAAAATAGAAATTAATAGCAGGTAATAATGAAATCTCCAAATACTTGGAAACTAAGCAACATTTCTAACCCAAGAGTTGAAGAGGAACTCTCAAGGGAATTTTAAAAATATATATGAAATTGAATGAAAATAAAAATAAAACACATCAACACCTGTGGGACATAGCCAAAGCAATGCCGAGAAGGTTATTAACAGCACTAAATGCATACACTGGAGAAGACAAAAGTCTCAAATCAGTATAATCTAAGTCCCCACTTTAAGAACTTAGAAGTGAGTAAAATAAACCTAAAGCAAGCAGAAGAAAGAAAATAATAAAGATTGGAGCAGAAATCAATGCAATTGAAAATAGACAACAGAACAAGAAAAGGAAATAAAAGGTATTCATATTGGAAAGGAAGAAATAAACACTTGCTACTTGAAGATGACATGATTGCCTATGTAGAAAATCCCAGGGGATCTACAAAAAAAACCCCAGAAGTAATAAGTGACTCAGTAAAGTCACAGGATAAAGATAAACATAAGAAAATCAATTGTATTTCTATGTATTAGAAATGAACACTTGGACACTAAAATTAAAATTACAATACCATTAACAATCACTAAAACAAAAAACGTAAAAATATACAACACTGAAGAAAGAAATCAAAACAGATTTAATAGATGGAGAGACATACTGAGTTCATGGATTAGAAGGCTCAATATAAAGATGTTAATTCTCTCTAATTGATATAGAGGTTTAATGCAATTACCTCAAAATCCCAACAAAATTTTTTAAAAATATAGACAAGATTATTCTAAAATTCATATGTAAAAGTAAAGGAACTAGAATAGCTAAGACAATTTTGAAAAAGAAAAATAAAATGGGAGAAATCAGTCTATCTGATTTCAAGACAGCTGTAGTCATCAGGGCTGTGTGGTATTAGTAGGCGGACAGAAACACAGTTCAATAGAACAGAGCTAAAAAACCCAGAAATGGACTCACACAAATATGCCCATCTAATCTTTGACAAAGATACAAAAGTAATTCAGTGGCAAAAGATAGCCTTTTTCAACAAATGGCACAGGAGCAATTAGACATCCATATGCAAAAAAATAAAGCTATGCCTCCTATCTTACACAAAAGTTAATTTAAAATGGATCATGGACTAAAATATAAACATAAAAGTAGAAAAACAAACACAGATCTTTGGGATCTACAGCTAGGCAAAGAGTTGTTACATTGACACCAACAGCATAATCCATAAAAGGAAATATTTATGAAGTGGGCTTCATAAAAATTAAAAACGTGCCGGCTGAGTGGCTCAGTTGGTTAAGAGCTCGCTCAAAGTTTTGAGCTCTGAGCAACAGTGGTTTGAGCCACTGAGCTGCCAACAGGTGGCAGGATGGCTCAGCTAAAAAAAAAAAAGTAATAAATAAATAAAAACGTGTGCTCTGCAAAAGATCCTGTGAAGAGGCTATACAGATAAGCTACAAGAGAAAATATACACAAATCACATATCCAACAAAAGACTAGCATCGTGAGTATATAAAGAACTCAAAACTCAACAGTAAAAAATCAAATAATCCAATTAAAGCATGGAAAAAAGACAGAGATTTCATTGAAGAAAATGTGCAGATGGAAAAGAAGCGCCTGATGTAAATTAAAACCACAGTGTTATATCACTACACACCTATCAGAATAGCTAAACTAAAAATAAGGACAAGACCAAATGCTGCCAAGGATGGAGGAAATGATCCTTCATACACTGATAGTGGGGATGTAGAAGGATAGTCACTCTGGTTAAAAGTGTGGAGGTGTCTCAGACTAACCATGTAACTACAGAAGACCAAGCAAATGTGTTCTTGGGCATTCATTTCAGAGAAATGAAGACTTATGTTTATAAGAAACATGTGCATGAATATTTAAAGCAGCTTTTTTCCTAATAGTCAGAAACTGTAAACAACTCAGATATCCTTCAATGGGTGAATGATTAAACAATTGTGGTACACTTATACCATTGAATACTATTGGGTTGTCAGAAAAGTCATGACACATTTTTGCAATGAAAAACATAGAAAAATACATCATGACTTTTCCAACAACCCAATACTTGGCAAGTAAAAAGAAACAAATTATTAATACATACCACAACCTGGAAGAATTTCTAGATAATTATTCTGAGGGGGAAAAAAGCCAATCCCAAAGATTATGTACCATGTGATTTCATACATACAACATTCTTGATGAAAAAATTATAGAACTGGAGAACAGATTAGCAGTTGCCAGGCATTAAGGAAGGGGTAGAGGCAGGAGGAAAGTGCAACATGAAAGATTCTTGTGGTGATAGAAACGTGCATCTTGACTCTATCAACATCAATATCCTGACTGTGATACTGCATTACAGTTTTGCAAGACATCACCATTGGGGGAACTGGGTAAAGGGTATAAGGGATCTCTGTATTATTTCTTACAACTACATATAAATTTACAATTACCTCAAAAAAAGTTTAAAAAATGTTGTAAGAAAATAGAATGATTCATTTGAGAGAGACATAAATGGTAGGAATAATTAGATAAAGAAAGAATCAGAGGCTGAAAAGAGACAGACCCAATGGCAAGCAGGTGTAGATGTTTTTGCCCTGCCCTCCTGGGAGACAGAAAAGAAGAGGGGGAGGGCTTGGGGCAATGCTGCTGTGGCTATGAGGCAAATAGAGGCCATGCTACGATGTTCTGTCCTCTGGCCTGAACCTGTCATATTATGCTATGCATTGCCGAAGGGGATCCACTAGGTGGCCACCCCCCAACCCCAAGCTATGTTCAAAGATTTTTTTCCCAGCAAAATACCCATGTTATTCTGTCTGTGGGCCAAAAAGAATCCAATTTGTAATAAAGTTTTTAAAAAAGTAGCCTGGTTTTCTCCCCAAATACCTGACAATTTCTTACCTGTCCCCAAGCATACAGGTTATTGTGTGTCTGAGATGGGTTCACTTTGGATAAAAGGAATCGAGCCTTAAAAAAAAAAAATACAAAGAATAAAAGTGGCATTGGTATTAGTACACTAGGAAAAAAGATTTTACATTTCTTTTGTTAAATTAGAAAGTCTTTACTGCACAGGAACCCATGTCTTTAACTTAAGCCCAATACTTTCCATTTGCTAGGATTCCAGAAACATGAAATATGTATTTTATTTTGGCAATTCCCTACTTTTACATTAATATATTTTGACCACTCATTTAAAAATAAGTCATATTTGGATGTTTATCTGTATGCAAATTTATGTCACTAAATAAAATATTAACCATGCTGTTTGGATTTATAGCCATAAAAATGTAACATGAAAACAACTGAATGCCAGAGCTAGAATTGAGCTCACTCACTTGACTGCCTCCATGCTCTGTGTTAATGTAACGTGGCATTGGGAAGCGCGCTTGCAGAATTTCTTCAGCGTCATCCAGTGGTGCCTGCAGAAGGTGCTTGAAGTTTTCATACTCAGGCATGTCCTGGTACCCAGCTTTACGCCACTGGGCTATAGTCTACACCAAAACAAAAAAACCAAAACTATTGTGGAAACACTGAAACAACATCCTTTTTTGACAACTCTGACTTTCTAAGACTAATCTCTGCCACACGCCCAGAATTTGTTTCCAGTGAAGAAGTCTTATGTCAAGAACAAGTTTCAGAGGGTAACATAGTGGAGCTGACTAGAAGTATGAGTAAGCAAAGAGGTGCACCCAGGACACCCCCAACTACCCAGTTCTCCCAGAAGTGTCAGAGTCATCAGTCATACCTCTTCTTTTCTAACTGTAAATACCAACTAAATAAAACACCATGGGCTCCCTTCCTTTCCACTTTCACTGCCATCACTTGGTCTAGTCCCTCATTTCCTTACACCCGGCAGGGAAAGGGATTTGTGGGCTGACTCCATAGAATCCATTCCCCCTTCTCTTTCCTATCAGCACACGCTGCATAGCCTCTTCCAGTGCACAGCAGAGTCACAGACACCTGGTGGGATTGACTCCATCTCTATCCCCTGCTCCTCTGGGCTCTGAGTAGGGATATTCTTAGTGGGGGAGTATTTTATAGTATATAAAAACTATAAGAATCAAAGTATGTGACTTAGTAATGAGAAGACAGCAGACTGTCTCCCCAACTAGGCTAAACACTTTATACCTCATTCCTTCTTTTATTCCCATCAGCAACTGGTCTAGGAAATATCTTGAACACACAAGAAATAAAAAATACTTGTTGACTGATTAATATATCTTTATAAATAAGCTGAAGTGTTTTCTTTCACATGTAGACTTAATGTGATACCAGAAAGAGAATTCTCTTTAGATGTTTTTTACTGCAGCCTGTTCTCCCTTCTCAGTTTCCAATACCATTTCCTAGATCTTAATTTTTTGTGACTGGTGGCATAGAGGAAATGACCATAAGCTCACTTGGGTCTAAGAGTTCTTAAGAACATCAACAGCCAGTGGACTTAAGGCTTTTAAAGTGAGAATGATGTCATAGTCTTTGTTATTAGAACCAATCACAGAAAGTGCTCAATAAACGTGTAAATGAATAGGGCTGTGGTCAGAGATGAGCTGAAGGCAAATAACGCTATGTTGTGATTGTTGTTCCTAAAAGGAACCAGTGGGAACAGCAGCTGGTCACCAATGGCTCTTGCTCTAGGACCATTACTGATGGCATATTGTCTGTGGGCAAGTGGCTAGCTGAAAAAAGTTTAAAGTTCTAAAATGCCTATTAGTATTAGAAAACGAATTCTTTCTATGAAGAGAATTCTGAAACACAATTTATATCTTTTCAGGACATTGAAAATAACTCCTAAAGTATAGACACTAGAAAGTCAAGTCAGTCACCAAAGCAATTTACTACAGGAATATAAAATAGAAGAAAAATATATCACTAAATATAATAATCAATTAAAGGATTTGCTTCAGAGGAGCCATTCCCTTTTTTAGGGCATAAACCTCTTTAAGAAATGGACTCTACCCTGAAAGCCATCCACAGCCACAGACCCAGCACAAGGCTCACTGTGCCACATCATTTTAAAAACAAACTGTAGTAGTCCCAAACACATACATGAGTGTTTACTAGTAACTCTAACATAACTCTGAATGGGTAGTAGTGTGTATAAAAAGTTTACTGAGGAAAAGTAACTGATCTTGCCTGACAACTCAGAAAGCAATAAATTATAGTGATTTAAAAGGACCACTCAAGATTTACTTAAAGCAAATATTCTTAAAATTACTAATATACAAATACCCCAGGGATCTGAAGAGAAATTTTATTCACTAGAATAAAAGACACTGTACTCATTATAATAAACTGTGGGTTTTCTAAGCCCAGATTCTAGTTTCAAACGCATAAAAATCTAAATTAAGAAGTGAAAACAATGTAAGAAAAGAAATTAATAATATCATCTTACCTCACCAAGATAAATCACAATTTGGAAGAAAGTATCCATCAGCAAAATTCTGTCAGCTAGAATGCTGCTGCTGTCCAATAGTACTGGCTGAAGAAAAAAGGAGAGGGTGTTGGTCTTCCCTCTTTTCCCCACATGGCCAGAACAGCTACAAGCTCTTTACAAATGGTGCCAGGCATGGTGGCTCTTCCCCCTTTCATGTCACATTCCCACTTTATGCCTCCTGACTCAACAGTTCTAAGTTTCAACTTTGTAGAACTAAGGGGACCCAAATAATCACTCATCTTTTGGGAAGGAAGATTAATGACATCTTTTGATCTAGGAATCAAAAGTTACTACAAATATTCTCAGTTTCATGCTAGAAATGTATTTTATCTATTAGAGAGACACATTCTCTCAAATCTATTGCTGTAGATGACAGATAACAGGTATGCATATAAGAAAAAGTACATCTTTTAATACAAGTTTTGAAAGTTTACTACAAAATGTATTTTTATGATTTGTATTTCCATAATAAAAGTAACTTATACTCAGTACAAAAAAATTGAACCCAAGTACAACAAATATTGATAGTTTGGCTTATTTCCATATAGTTTTTAATTCTTGTAGGTTATTTAGAAAACATAATTTAGAAAAGTTTCTATTTTGATTTTTTTATGTAACATTTTTTTAACAAAGTATTATTTTAAACTCCAAATTTCATTTCTACAATTAATTTGTGACAAGAGCTTCATTGTCTTTTTTTTTTTTTTAAGATTTTATTGGGAAATTGGGGGAGGGGAACAGCGCTGCGGAATTGGGGGAAGGGGAACAGACAAGTTGCTGTCGTTTTGTTCTTCAGTCTAGTTGTGGAGGACGTCGCTTCACTGGTCCATGGTGGTATTATCATTGCGCTCTTCCCAGGTGAGGCAGATCGGTCGCCGGCCTCTGGACGGCCGCTCACGGTGGCTCTTGGAAGCTCACACTGGCTGCCGGCCACTCATGGTAGCTTATGGCAGTCCACTGCAGCTTCACTGCAGCCTACACTGTTGCCAGCGACTCCCGGCAGCCCACCTCCAGGTCAAGCTGTTGTTCACCATTTTAGCTGTAGAGGGCAGTGTCAATGGCCCCCATGTGGGATCCGAACCGGGGCCCTGCTGCTCAGAGCTGGCGTCCCAAGCCAGCTCTAACCAACGCTCCACTCGGAAGGCCCTTCATGTAACATTTTTACATAAGGATTTATCTATTTTAGTATGTTACATGAACTTTGTGAATATTTACTAGATTACTTATTTTGCTACTATTGAGCATTTGGATTGTTTTCTAATTTTCTATTTTAATAGTTCATTTACTATTTCTTTGGACAAAGTTTTTTCTGTATATGAGTATTTTCTTCAGATACAATAAAAGATATGAAATTACTGGGTCAAAGTAATTACTATACAGACTCCAAGTTTTCTTTTTTTACAGTTTTGCTAGAAAAAAACAATATACAGAGGGTGCCAAAAAAATCTATACGCATTTTAAGGAAAACTGTATTATTATAAAACTGTAATACTCAATATACACCAATAATAAAAGATGAATACAAGTCACGTTTGACTACTGCAATTACAAGAGGTGCTCAAAGTGGTTACCATCAGCATCCAGACACTTCTGATTACGGCGAACTACTGCCTGAGCAACATTAACCAAACTGTCTACTTGTATACATTTTTTTGGCATCCTTGATATATTAGATGATTCCAATTCTGAGAAAAGCAGTCATTAAAGCCTTACCTCTGGTGGTCCATGGAACGAATAGGAGTAGAGAATAGGCTGGATCATGATGAGGGACTGGGTTAGATCCTGTCGGGCAAAATGGTGTCTGTAATATGATGACTCATCAGGACTATTGTTAAATACTTGAAGAAATGGAGATCTTCTAAGATGGAACATGAACTGCATTAACAAAGAAAAAAAGACAAAAACATATAGCTGTAACCTTCTTAGATACCCAGAAAATAGACTTGCCTTAGATCTCTGAAACAGGAGACCCCAGACTTTAAGAAAATGGCCTCTGAGTTCATTAACTAGAAAGTAAATGGTGCAACATTTATGGATATCTCAAATAGAAGAGTTCTTTAAAAACAAATTAAAAAAAGAAAGTAAATGGTGGTACCAGGGGCTGGAATAAGTGGGAAACAAAAAGTTGCTGTTAAATGGGTATAACATTTTAGTTTAGCAAGATGAAAAAGTTCTAAAGATGTGTTGTATAGCAATGTGAATATACCTAACACTACTGAAAAGTACATTTAAACTTGGTTAAGATGGTAAAATTTATATTTTTTACCACGATTAGAAAATTTAAAAAATTATTTTAACAGTTGGGGGAGGGGAGAGCCTCTGGGTAGGTCACAGCTTCCACATGAAATGGGAAAGGCAAAGAAGAGTTTATTTCTGAAGTCATGGGTCCAGGTTTCAGAGACAGCATGTCTGCTCTCAAAGTGATCATAGTCCAGTGAGGGAAGGGACACTTGGGGCAGCGTGTTAGGAGCCTGGTACAGGCAAGTACTGCTACAGTGGGGTGGGGGTACAAGACTTCCCAAAGCCACTGGAGTCTGTATGATGTTCACAAGGAGGCCAGAAGGCCGGAGGAGAGGGGACTCCAGGCATAGTAACAGCAGATGAGAAGTTAAGATAGCTCATACACAGGCTAGTCTGCTGGAGTGAGGGGTGTAAAGGAGAGAGGGACAAGATGCTGCTGCTGGAAAGATATGTTCTTTACCCTGAGGATTAGGTGGAGGGGACTTTCAGCCTACTCCAAAGAGGTGCCAAAACATGGAAATGAGCTGCCTTGAGAAGTATAAAGCTTCCCGAGGTTCCACATATTGAAGCATAGATTCCTAAATAATAATCATGGCTGATATTTAATGTATCCTATGTGCAAGGCATAAAGCACTTGACAAGAATAATTTAATCCTTACAAAAGGCCCACGAGGTAGGTTCTCTTACCATCCCTAGTTTACACATCAGGCAACTGAGGAGTAGGCAATTTGCCCAAGGCCACCTGCTACTGAGTGGCAGAGCCAGACTCTAATCTAGGCTGTGGCTCTTTTCTTTTTTTTAAGATTTTTATTGGGGAATTGGGGTAAGGGGCACAGGTGAACAGGCAAGTTGCTGTCCTTTTGTTCTTCAGTCTAGTTGTGGAGGAC